AAAAAAAAAAAAATTGGATGATGATAGGATTTAAACGAAACCTTTTCTTTCTAAAAATGCTTACAATACTAATTCTTCAAAAATTCTGACTACTCCATTGGTATCTTATCTTCACATCCTTTGACATATTCTTCAATCCCTAATGGATTCTGGGATCATTTTGAAACTATCTGAACTAATTTATTAGCTTCTAAGTAACTCAGTACTTTCAATTCTGATTTTTTTTTTTTTTTGAAATGCAGAAAAAGCCAAATAGGAAAGGAAAACAAGGAAGCATAGGTGAAGAATTCTTATGAATCATAGAAACCGCAGGCTTTAAGTAAGCTTCCTTCACTAGCCTACGATCAAATACAGGAAAATTTTTTGTCTTATTTAAAAGTACCAAATTGCACACCTGAGGACCAGTGTATCAAGAAAGAAGTTTTTTAGTGATGACATCAAGAGAATCTCATGTTCTCTGTGCGTACAGAGGAAAGCAGACAAACTTCCACTCCAGTTGTCTTTTTGTTCTTCTCCAGCCCATAGATTCTGGATGATTTCCAGAAGCCCTGCAGCATTTAATAAGGAAATTCAGAAACTCTGGGCATATCTCCAAAATTTGAGGTTTTGCTTAAGTTCTCTTTATTTGTGGGTTTGTTTCAACTTCTAAAAAATCTGGCTGGGAAACGGGTACAATATATTTCAGTTATCACAATAAAATACAAGTAATAATATTCGACACAAGTTATAATCTTTAGATTTTTTTTTTTTTTTTTTTAGACAGAGCCTCAAGCTACCGCCCTGGGTAGAGTGCTGTGGCATCACAGTTCACAGCAACCTCCAATTCCTGGGCTTAAGTGATTCTCTTGCCTCAGCCTCCCAAGGAGCTGGGACTACAGGTGCCCGCCATAATGCCTGGCTATTTTTTGGTTGTAGTTGTCATTGTTTGGCAGGTCTGGGCCAGATTCGAACCCACCAGCTCCAGTGTATGTGGCTGGTGCGCCTTAGCTGCTTGAGCTATAGGTGGCACCCAGTCTTTAAAATTTTTGATGACACAGCTATCAGAAGTGTGAATTTGGTTAATCTTGTAGATGTACCAATTAGTGTTGAAATTAAGTAGTGAAATTGACTCTGTTCTACTGTTAGCTAAGTCTTTAATGTATAGGATGACATCCATGTAAGTATCTGTATTGAAAAACTAAATGTTTACTTTATACAGTTTTATAATTTAGAAAATGTCAATCTGGATGGGCAGTGTAAGATATTGTTTGCGGATTTTCAGTTTCTTTGAGAAAGTTTAAACACATAAGTATTAAAATTTTGATAGAAAACAGATCTATAGTTTTACTGTTATCATCTTGGTTATTATCATCTTTTATTGAGACAGTCTTATTTTGTCACCCCCAGTAGAGTGCTGTAGCATCATAGCTCACACCAACCTCAAACTCTTGGGCTCAAGCAACTCTCTTGTCTCAACCTACCAAGTAGCTAAGACTACAGGCGCCCACCACAACACCTGGCTGTTTTTAGACACAGTGTCTCACTCTGGCTCAGGCTGGTCTCAAACCTGTGAGCTCAGGCCATCCACCTGCCTCAGCCTCCCAGAGTGCTGGGATTACAGGTTTGAGCCACTGTGCCGGCCCTTACCATCTTTTTTTTTTTTTAACATATACTTTTGAGACAAGATTTGAATTTTAAGGGATAAAAACTATGTGCTATATAATGGATGGCATTTAACTCTTACTGTGAAGGTCAAATATTTAGAACCACAATTAATATTGTGGCAGCCTCAGGAATTTGTGCAGTTGCTATAAGGGATTTATTTTTTCCTCCCCCAAAATAGACTTAAATAACCCACAAATCAAAAGCCCCAACAAATAAACTCAAGGAGATTATTAACATAATAGAAGAAGTTAATTTGCAAGATAATCCATATCTTTTTATAGGATAACAGGGTTTATTTGGAAACAGTGGTATGCCTGGCTTCCAGGGTTGCACATAACTCCAAGAAACTTACTTAGCCATTCTAAAGTGCTGACGACCAAAGTAAATTATTATTTATACCAGTTATGAGAAATTAGCAAATGTGATGTGCCATTAAGAAGTGAAAGTAAGAGCATTTCCACACTCAGAATGTTAATATCACAAGATGAATTTTCATTGTCTTTATCTCCTAAAAATAAAGTTCTAGGTGATTTTAGTTTTCAGAGTTAAAGCATAAACATAACTATATTGGCCATAATGGAAAACAAACATGTAAGTAGATTTTCAAAAGGGACACCATTAGCCCTTAACCTCTGATACCACCTCCTGGAAAGCACACTCAGGTGTATCCTTAAAGCATCTTCACCTGTCTTAAGAAAAGCAGGTCACAGAAGCACTTGATATGCTCACAAGTCCTGAATTTCAGAGTATTCTTTTTAAGTGAAAATTTTTTGGTTTAAACATAAAAGCTAGTCACTACATAAAAGAAGAAAACATAATTCTTAATTTTCTACCTCATTGAAGATAAAATGTGGACATGGTCCATTCTCTTTTTTTATATATTTCAGACTATTACAGAGTTACAAACATCTTGGTTACATAAATTGCTTTTGTATCATTTGAGTCAAAGTTACAAGTGTGCCCACCACCCAGATAGTGTGCAGTATACCCAGTAGGTATGAATTTACCTATCCCCCCACACACTTATTTGAATTTGATGAGTGTTATTTGCTTATGTGCATGTTAAGTGTTAATGGATTTATTTCCAGTTTAATAGTGAGTACATGTGGTGTTTGTTTTTCCATTCTTATGATACTTCACTTAAAAGAATGGTCTCCAGTTCCATCCAGGTCGTTACAAAAAGGTTAGATCACCATTTTATGGCTGAGTAGCACTCCATGGTATACATACACCACGTTTCATTAATCCATTCATGTATTGATAGGCACTTGGGTTGTTTGCACATCTTTGCAATAGTGAATTGTTCTGCATGTGTCTTTTTTATGAAGTGTCTTTTGTGGTGGGATTCCTAGACTGAACGGTAGGTCTACTTTTAGTTCTTTGAGGAATCTCCGTACTACTTTCCATAGAGGTTGTACTAGTCTGCGGTTCCACCAACAACATGTGTGCTCCTGTCTCCTCTGCAAGTTTTTGCTAGCATTTGTTGTTTTGGGACTTTTTGACAAAAGGTGTTCTAACTGAAGTTAAGTGGTATCTCATTGTGGTTTTGATTCACATCTCTCTGATAATTAGAAATTTTGAACACTTTTAATATGGTTGTTGGTCTTTATCTTCTTTGGGAAAGTTTCTGTTCATGACTTTTGCCCACTTTTTAATAGGGTATCTGTTTTTATCTTGCTGATTTGCTTCAGGACTCTATAAATTCTGGTTATCATCCGTTTATCAGGTAGATACATAACATGCAAATAGTTTGTCTTATCCTGTAGGTTGTCTGTTCATTCTAATGATTGTTTCCTTGGCTGTGTAGAAGCTTTTTAGCTTAATCAGATCTCATTTCTTTTTGTTGGTGGTACGATTGCTCTTAGGGTCTTGTTCATAAATGCTTTGCTTAGACCGATGTCTTTGGAAGTTTTCATTTTACCTTGCATGCAGAGCCATGGTTGGTATTACCCCAGTGCAAAGACTTGTCATAGAGGGAAAAAAAAAAAAAAAAAGACTTGTCATTAGGCTGTTCTGACAGGTCACGTGACAGGTCATGTGATCCTGGAGCATGCAGCCTCGTCCCCTTGCTAGATGATTGCCAGTTTGCCCAAGTGTCTTTAATACTAGAACTAGACTATGAAGAAGTTGCTTTCTAATTCTATCCCCAGTTCAGTTTGTCTGTGAGTCTCCATAGACTCTGGAAAATCAATATATTTGCCTATCTCCTTGGTATTTGCAAATTAGAATCCATAAACCACTTTGAGGACAGGCCACAGGCAGCACAGCACTGTGGTTAAGAGGCCAGCTTTGGAAACAGGCCTAAGTTTACACTACCCCTTCTCTGCCATTTATTTATTGTGTCCTTAGGCAAGTGACTCAACCTCCAGTCTTCAGTTTCCTCGTCCGTAAGGTGGGAATAATGTAATGTTTATGCCAGAATGCTGGGGTCAAGATCAAGTGAACAAGTACTTGTAAAGTACATAATCAAACACATCTGACAAATGGGAGTTAGTCCTTCGTGCATGTGTGTGTACAGGTGTTTGCCATAGAAAACCACCATATTTATTCATAATTACAATCAATTAAAATTTAACACCTAACCTCCAAATCAGTACATGACCTTAGCTGTTAAGATGCTCAAGTTGTTTTCTATCCTGGGAATTTACATGTCTGTGTTCCTTAACACAGTTCCAAAGGATGGACTCAAAAGCCAGGCTGCATTTGAAGAAATGAGGACAAATTACATCAAAGAGCTGAGGAAGATGGTAACTAAGTGTCCCAACAATTCTGGGCAGAGCTGGCAGAGGTTCTACCAACTGACCAAGCTTCTGGACTCCATGCATGACGTGAGTAGAGCCCTTGGTTTCTGTTCAGTGAAGGACGACAACTACACACACACTTTGGACCAAACAAAACGAGAGAGCCCAGAGTTTTCAGGGTTTTAGGAAGAATGGAGGGAGATTCTCCAGTGGGAGACAGCAAGAGTTAAAAACAGATTAAGGAAATTTTTTTCTAAATAACCTTTGGAACAAACCTCACTTATAAGCAAAGGGCCTGGCTTTGTGCCCTGGAGCAGGGAAGGCCCTCAGATTTGCTACAGGTGTCAGATCGAGTTTCACATTTTTGCTTGCAATTTAGGAAATGTTTGGTTAATGAAAATGTTTGCTTTAACATTACATAAATAGTGTCCATCTTCTACAACTGTTAATCTAATAACCCAATCTTCCACAAACATTATTAGTGGTTCAGGGCCAATTTGGATCGTCTCAATCCGTGCCAAATTTTGAATCCTATATTCATTATTCTTCATAGGAGTCACCTTTCTTGTCTTAATGTAAATACAGAAAGTGGATTCTGAGCTTTTTTCCTCGTTTAATCAATTATGGATGTAGTCGAGGTGTTTGTTAGCAGTTTCTACAAAATATTGATTTGGATAACTTGCTTTGCGTGGCATTTAAAATCTGCTTCTTGTTTCACTGTGCAAGCAGCTTCTCCCATTCTGGCTCACAGAATGTCGTACGCAGTCATGCTAATTTAGTTCTTCATATTTGTGAAGTTTCCATACTTTCTTTTGGAGAATTTATGGCCCAAGTTCAGCCTGTATGATTTGAATAATAAACTCTTTTTAAAAAACATCTTTCTATTGTTAATGACAATGTTGACAGGGTTGATGGCCGATGTTAAAATAGTGTTACTATTAATGTTAAAATAATGATTCCTCCTTTCAAAGTCCCTTCATGCCAGTGGAATGTCATCCTGCTGGGATGCTAATGGCATAAGGTTGATTGATAAAAGAATGTCACTTTCCACTGTCTTACAAGGAGACCTTGTGCGTTTCACTGACCTTTGCTTTCTCTAAGCTTTTCCTAAGACAGGAGTCAAATTCCTGCAAGGTGAATTCAGTGATAAATGGTTTCGCTAATTATCAGTGGCTTAAAGAACATGGGTGGGTAGAAAATATTAGAAATAAGAGGTGATGGCAAGTGAGGCTTGGGGGAACACAGCTAGTGATGCTCTCTTTGACTTACACAAAAGGAAGCATAGGGGACTGAAGCAAGTTTTCTTACTCGATTTATATGGCAACCACAGGTCATCCGCAAGAGAATACAGAGCAGGCTTACTGTCAGCCGGTGGCCTGGTTAAGAGGCCTCCTTCAGTAGCGAATAAAACGGGGGTTTGTGATGCTTTCTTACATTCTCTTATTTGTACAAGCAGGTTAGAACAAGTGCAGTATCAAAATTAGAATGTAATTGTCATCATAGCACAGGATAATAGATGATACATTTTAAAGCAATTTCCACGTCATGAGAGTGAACAGAAGTTAAAACCCGTTTTCCCCCCACAGCGTTTCCGAATCTATATATCTTAAGTGGCATAGCGCAGTGGAGACACGAAGAGGCCTCCGTCCCTAGCAGCCCCTGGGTCAAAACCTCCTCCACTAGTTTGGGTTTTGTGCCAGCATGGCGCTTGGCACAGGGGGAGAATTCAGTGAATAGTTTTTGAATGGCTATATCATAAATACTGATTTTCTACAAAATTTCCAAGAACAAATTAGGGTCCTTTTGTTTTTTTAATCAAGGTAAAGTTGATGTGAAATAAACTGAACAAATTTAATGTGCTCAATTGGTTCACTTTTCACATATGTGAACACCCATGAAAGCATCACCATGTCAAGCAGCAAACACAGCCATCACTCTGGCAGTTTCCTCCTGCCTGCCTTTAACCTGTCCTCCTATCTGCTGGTCCCTGATTTGTGTTTTGCCTTCTGTTAAGCTAATAGAGATAGTTTGCATTTTCTCTTATGTCATAGAAATGGAGTAAGGCAGTTTGTAGTCTTCTTTATCTGGCTGCCGTCACTTAGCTCACTAATGTTGAGTTTCCTCCATCTCATTGCCTACATTAGCATTTGCTGGTTTTCTTCCTTGGTGAACAGTGTCCATCACGTGCATGTTCCAGAATTCATACAGTCACCACGTGATGGGCGTTTATGGCATTTGCAGCTTGGGGGCTCTTTTTAGTACAAATAAAGCCATGTTGAATATTTATGTATAAATCTTTGTATAGACATCTACCTTCTCTTTTCTTGGGTGAATACCTTATAGTGGAATGCCTGGGTAATATGGTAGTTGTATTTTCATCTTTAAGAAACTGCCAGACATGGAAAAGCATGAATCCTATGTGTTCAATTTTGATATGAGGACAATAAATGACATGGTAAGGGGTGGGGGTGGGGGAAGGGGAGATCAGAGAGAGAGAGAGAGAGAGAGAGGGAGGAGGTGGGGGAAAGAAAGATCAGAGAGAGGGAAGGAGGGGATGGGGGTGGGGTCTTGGTGTGTAACACACCTTTTGGGGGCAAGGCACAATTGTAAGAGGGACTTTACCTAATAAATGCAATCAGTGTAACCTGGGTTCTTGTACCCTCAATGAATCCCCAACAATTAAAAAATAAATAAGTAAATAAACTGCCAGGCTGTTTTCCAAAATAGTTAAACAAATTCACACTCCCATAAGAAGTATATGAGAGTTCAGACTGCTCCATGTCCTTGACGACACTTGGCACAGTTGATCTTTTTGGTTTTAGCCACTTTAGTTATTGTATAGTGGTGTCTCGCTGTGGTTTTACTTTGCATTTCCCTGATAATTAATGAAGGTGTGATCTTTGCATGTGCTCATGAGAGACGCTGATGTCTTCTTGGGTAAAGTGTCTGTTGGGTTCTTTTGCTCTTCCCTGGAGCGTTTGTTTTCTGATTATAGAATTTTGAGAGTTCTTTCTATATTCTCACTACAAATCCTTTATCAGATATATGATTTCCAAGTCTCTCCTCCCAGGCTGTGGCTGATCTTTTTGTTCTTTTTCAAGAGCGGGCGTTTTTAATTTTGATGAAGTCCATTGATGATTGTTTTCTTTTAGGGTTCACATTCTCTGTGTTCTGTCTGAGAAGTCCTTGTGTCACCAAGCCAGGGTCACAAAGCTCTTCTTTGTTTTCTTGTGGCATCACTGTCTTTCATTGATAACCAGTGTCTTGGAAACCATTTTTTTTTTTTAATTTGTTTGTTTTCCTGAGTCCTTTGGTGGTTTCAAAGTCAACATTTGCAGAATTTTCTTCAAGGGAACAAAGAACTATGCCACACTCTGGCTTTAGACATAGCCTAGTTCTGCTCATCTAGTGGAAAAGAGAGCATTTGTTTCTGAGAGTCACACAAATAAGAGCCCTTTGAGAGTGGATTGAAGTTCTGCTTACATACTGTGCACAGTAGTCCAGCTCTCAGGGCATGTCCGCAGCTCTCAGGACACACATGGATTTCTTTCACATGGTGTACAGCAACGCCAAGGTGGGTGGAAGGAGCATTGTCTGAGCTGGCCGCTGTAGTTCATTGGTTAGCACAGCAGGGGCGGTGAGTTCGAGCCTCTCCTAGGCCTAGGTAACAACAACAAAAAACACAAGAAGAGCATTCTCTGAAATAATGGGTTCACAGCTAAGTGTTTAGATTGGTCAACAACTTTAATGTATTCCAAGCCTTTGAGCTTCAATCTCTCCTCAAAAAATATTTCAAAGAAAGCAGCTGTGTATGGTAAGGCTTCTAGCAGAAGATGCATTTTTGCATTGCGAATGTTTCGGTGTTCACATGGAAAGCATATAGAATCCTTATCTTACTAGCAAGAACTGACAATAGTCAGTTTTTATCTTTTATTAGGAGTAGCGTTTACTTTCCTATGGGTGAAAGAAACATACATCTACTGAATTTATTGCTAGCTTTTATCCCTTTTTAGAGATCAAGGTCTATCTATGCTGTGGTCAGTGTATGGAACACTTAGTAGAACCTTTTAGTAAATAATAAAAAATTATATTCATAGTCTGCCTTGAGGCAAAAATTGCCCTTTTTCTATTAAATTGCATTCAATTGCAACTTTATTTCAGTATAAGCACTCAGCAGAAATTTGCCTCATGCCCAACAATACAGAGAGTGCTGCAAGCTACAAATTAAATGTATGACATTGACCCAACCTTCTATCGGCATAGACTCTACAGAGGTGGCCAGAGCACTGTGCAAGGTGGAAACTGACCAGGTACTGAAACTTGTCCCCTGGGCAGTGGGCCCCTGGAAAGCACACGTGCCCATGTGTTCATTTGTGGAGCAGTCCTGCCAGGCTCCAGGACCACAGGTGCAAGTGTGACCAAAGTGTCTGTCTTTTCTGGTGTGGTAGAGGAAGCCGTTCTCTCACTCCAGAGATACTTCAGTGTCTGGAAGTGCCAGGCCATGTCCTAGGGGGAAGAGCCAAAGGCGGGCAGCCAAGCAGCACCTGGAGGTCACAGGGCAGTGTGCTGAGACCTCCGGGGAGGTGAGCCCAGCATTAGTGTGGGCTCACTGGTGTTCACTCTAGGTTGGCAAATCAGGCCTTGCGAAGAGGTAGAGCAGTGCTGGGCAGGGGTCATGGGAGACTTCCACAGGGTGTCAGAAACCCCTTATTCCTTATTCAGTGGCAGAAGAAACAAAGCCTCAGAGAGTGACTTCTGAAAGTTTACAGGTAGCTGGGCAGCTGGAGGCCTCCTGACTTGGAAGTGGGTGCTCCTGACACCGCGCCATGATGAGGGTACTTCCAGCTGGGAGTGGCTGTGAGGCTGGGTTCCCTTTTAGAGACCAGACAACCAGCGTGTAGGAACCTCAGACGCAGCAGCACTGCTCTCCAGCTCTCTAGACTCCCTTGGCTCCTCCCTGGCATGTTCCGGAATGTACCGTTTCTATGAGGTGCAGGGTTACATCTTGCAGGCGTCAACCTGTGTCATGTTGAGACATCATGCGTGTTTAGCAGTTCCCAAAGCAAAAGTTTAAGTCTGCCTTGACA